ACAAACTGGGGGGCTGGGGAGATGGCTCAGTGGAATAAGCTCTTCTCTGGCAAGCACAAGGGCCTGAGTTCAATCAAAAAAAAAAATAAATAAATAAATAACAAATTGGGAGAGCTGGTGAGATAGCTCAGAGGTGAGATAGCTCAGCTAAGTGCCTGATTAGATAAGCACACAGCACATGCTGTGCTGGCCCTTACCCCCAGGCGCACTGAGCCAGGCCACCAAGACCTGTAATTCTAGCACTGGGGAGGCTAAAAACAGGATCACTACAAGTCTGAGCTGCATAGTGAGACTTATCAAATACATAAAAAGAAAAAGAAAAAGGGATCTGGGGAAGCCTTCCTGAATAGATGGGGTTTAAGTCATGAACAGAATCAGTTAAGCATTTCCAAAGAGGGCAGTGTGGCATGGTGGGGAGAGGGGCTGGTTAGGGGCTGGTTGGTGCGTGCATGATCAGAAGCCTGGGGAGGTGGTTGTAGTTACCCCAGTTACTCTTCCAGGATGCAAATACTCCAGGGCCCAGAGGCAGGGAGAGCTACAAGGGTCTTTTGCAGTAAAACCAGGGATGGTAGTGTCTGAGATGGGGTAGAAAGGTAGGTAGGTAGGTAAGTAGGTAGGTAGTGAGGGGCAGGTGGATCTGAGCTGGGGAAAAGAAAAAGCTGGCATGGAGGAGGAAGGGGAAGGCAGCGGCACCCTGAGGTTGGGTGATGCCATGAGGAGCAGCTGCTGAGTTTGGCTGGACAGTGCTGAGAGGCGTCGGAGCCAAAGCGGAGTTCAGGACTGAGTGTTAGGTAAAAATTGGCACCAGGGTCACTTAAATTCTCAACACTGATGTCATCAAGATGGAAGCCATCCCAGGCCTGAACAGGGCCAACCAGGCACCTGGTGTGCAACCCAGAGGCCGTGCCATCTCCTGGCCGGTGGCTGCAGTGTCTGAGGAAGGGTGCAGGTGTGCAGTGGCTGTGGTGGTGGCTATAGAGGGGATGGGACTGCCCAGCACAGTGGGAGAAATGGCCATATAGAGTGGCAGCAGCAGTTCTGCTGAGGGGCCAGACCGGGGAGGGCTAGCTTTTTTTTTTTTTTTAATGTATTTAGGACAGAGTCTACTGGGTTTCACTACACAGGTCAGACTCACAGTGATCGTATTTTCAGCCTTCTAAGCTCTGGGATTACAGGTGCATGCCACCACACCCAGTCTCAATTGCCCTTGAACCCCGGTCCCTGCATCCGGGTCCCTGCCTCTGCCTAAGCAGTTGCTTTAATCCACTGAGCTATCTGGCCGGTCCTGGGGAGGGCTAGCTTTGATCCAGGAGGGCATCTGTGATCTTCGCTGAAGCAGCAGTCTCCTACAAGAGACCAGGGACAGGTTTTTTTTTTTTTTTCCCCCAGAGAAGAGCAGTGGATGATAACTGGAGCAGAAGGTGGAGAGATTTTGCTTTTTCTTTTTTGTTGGGGAGCATCAAGTTTGGGGCCTTGTACTTATTAGACAAGTACTCTACCACTAAGCTATATCCCAGCCCCAAGTTTTGCTTTTTTCTCTTTTTGGGCTTTATTATTTATTTATTTGGCAGAACCAGGGATTGAACTCAGGTCCGTGTGCTTGCCAGGGAAGCGCTTATTCCACTGAGCCATCTCCCCAGCCTTTTTTCTCTTTTTGGTACTAGGGAGTGAACCCAGGTCCTTCACACTGGGCTAATCTCTGGCTGTTTTTAAAATTTTTTATTTTGAGGGTCTTGCTAAATTGCCCAGGCTGGGTTTGAATCTTCCTGCCTCAGCCTCCCAAAGTGCTGAGATAATATACATATACCACCACACCCAGGTGAATTTTTGCTTTTTACAGCAAGGCTTAGCTGGCTGTTTATATACATGTAGTAGGGAGAGATAAGTTGAGGATGTGGGGTGGGGGACACTTACTGGACTGATGTCCTTGAGCCCAAGGGAGAAGATGGGCTGGTACCAAGTAGAGAGACAGCTTAGGCAGCAGGTGGGACTGAGGGATGCATTGAGAGGAAAGGCTGAGGGCTGTGTACGCTAAGGGTGGAGGAAGTTCTCAGTGTAAAAGGATGCAAGCTCATGGGGGGGGCAAGGTCATTGTCAGGGGCATCGGGGAGAGGCATGCCCACAAGGAGGATGGGGAGAGGCCTATTTTCCAGGCAGCACTAAAAGCGACTAATGTGGGGAGATAAAGTGGATCTGTTTAGTTTGGGGAAGAGAGTTGAAAGGGTTGGAGGTGGCACCATGAGGGCTGCTAGAGCCTCCTGTTTGGCTGGAGGTGTGGCTACCACCAGCCCCACCCTGATTTACTGCCACTCTTGGGTTAGACTGGGTAAGCCACACTGGTCAAGGACAGATTCACTCACCTGTTTTTTATTTTATTGTTAATGGGTTTTCCTGTGCTAGAATTGAACCAGGGTCTGGTGCATGCTAGGCAAGTGCTTTGCCATTGAGCTGCATCCCAAACCCTGTCCATTATTTGAGCAAACAGCCTATAGCCCAGTGACAGTGACCAAGGTGGCTGGTAACTACTTTGATCACTTACGTGACCAGTTGTCAGCAGTTTCCTGGGGCTTTTGAGAAGGCACTCAGGGAAGTGGATGGCAGATAAGTCCCATCAGCACAGTTGGAGTCAGGAGTAGGGGCACATGACCTTTGTCAGGGCAATTTCTGGCCTGATGTTGAGGAGTTGGGTGTGGGCTGTCTCTCCCCAGGACCTCCACAAAAAGTACTCATACATCCGAAAGACCAGGCCTGATGGAAACTGCTTCTACCGAGCTTTTGGATTCTCCCACTTGGAGGCGCTGCTGGATGACAGCAAGGAGTTACAGCGGTGAGGAGGGCAAGCGCTAGTGGGGCTCCTTTCTCCCTCTGAGGCCAGCCAGTCGGCTGGGCTCTTGCCTGGGGCTTCTGTGTAAGGTGGAGTGATCTTGTTTGAGGCCAGCGAGTGCATAAATACTTACTGGCCTCCTGCCCACAGGTTCAAGGCTGTGTCTGCCAAGAGCAAAGAGGACTTGGTGTCCCAGGGCTTCACTGAGTTCACCATTGAGGATTTCCACAATACGGTGAGCCACGCCTGGCTCCAGCTGGGTGGGAAGGGGTGCTGGTCTGGTGGGGCTGAGCCCTGTGCCTCCCTCACCATGGCCTTCATCCCTTTTGTGGGCAGTTCATGGACCTGATTGAGCAGGTGGAGAAGCAGACTTCTGTAGCCGACCTGCTGGCCTCCTTCAATGACCAGAGCACTTCGGACTATCTGGTGGTGTACCTGCGGCTCCTCACCTCGGGCTACCTGCAGCGTGAGAGCAAGTTCTTCGAGCACTTCATCGAGGGTGGGCGGACTGTCAAAGAGTTCTGTCAGCAGGTGCTGCTTGGGACCCTCCTTCTTCCCTTGCCTGGGGTGGTGATGGTGGGGCAGCAGGTGGTGGGGCTGACCTGCTCTTTTGTGCCTCAGGAAGTGGAGCCCATGTGCAAGGAGAGTGACCATATCCACATTATCGCGCTGGCCCAGGCCCTCAGCGTGTCCATCCAGGTGGAGTACATGGACCGCGGTGAGGGCGGCACCACCAACCCACACGTCTTCCCTGAGGGCTCTGAGCCCAAGGTCTACCTTCTCTACCGGCCAGGACACTACGATATCCTCTACAAATAAGGCTGACCGGCTGCTGCCGTGTCCCCGCCTGTCTTCCCTCTGCCAGGCGCTAGACATGTACAGAGGTTTTTTGTGGTTGTAAATGGTCATATTCACTCCCCCTTTTCCTGTCACATAACCTTCCATGTTTTATTAAAGGGGAAGCTGGTAGTGAGCCACGTGTGTCCGTTTCCCTGCTCTGCTGTTGCCTGCCTGCTGGCTGCTGTATGTCTGGCTGCCCCCTCTCCACTGATGGGTCCCCCTAGTTTTCTACCTCTCAGTCCTAAGCTTTCCCAGCAGGAGCACTTTGAGGGCTCTGGTCACTTGGGGAGGCTATCCTGAGACCTGGAGTTCTGTCTTAAGGCCTCCCTTGCTGCCTCAGTGGGCCTGAGGCTTCCATGTAAACCATGGAAGTTTTTCAGGGACTTACTCAGGGCTCTGGTGTGTCCTCCTATACGTGTACCTCTGCCCAGCTGTCCTGGCCCTGCCCCAGCCCCTAGCTTGCTGCCCTCTGCCAGGGGTCTGCATGGAGGTCTTGGGAGGACATGGCCTGTGGGGTGAGCCTGCTCAGGGCAGGAGGGGAGCTGGGCCGTTACTGTGGGTCCAGGTGGAGGCACCTGGAGTAAGAGGGGTGGCTCTCGTCCTCAGGCCTAGGCAGAGCACACCAGTTCCCTTCTTCCCCAGCCTGAGGCCCCTGCCTGTGCCTGCTTTGTCCCTTTGCTTGGGCCAGCTTGGCTCTGCACTCTGCCTGGAGATTGCCTTCACCCCACCCCTACCCCAGCACCTGCAGAGCTCTGTGTGCTCCTTTGGGGCAGGCCCTCAATAAATGTGAGTGCTGCTGCCCCTTGCTGTCTGGCTGAGCCTCTACCCTTCTGGCTCCCCATGACCTCGCGGGTCCCTAAAGCCTGAGCACAGGTTCCAGGCTCTTGCCCACCCTAGGCCCTGGGTAGTGAGAGCCCAGCCGGTGGGAAGTGCACCGAGATGTTTATTAGGAGGCTCCTGGGCAGGGTCCTGAGGGGAAGGCTGGGTGGTTCAGCCTGCGCCAAGCTTCAGGCTTGGGAGACTTCTCAGAGCTGGGAGGAGGGTCCTGCAGGCCCTGAGGGATCTGAGGGCAGAACAGAGGGATTAGAGGAGCCTCCCTGCTGGGGGGGGGGGGCTGGGCGGCGGGGCGGCGGGGCGAGCGGCAGCGCAGGCAGGGTGAGCCCTTGTTACTGGCCAGGTTAGTGTAGACAGCCACGGGGCCTGTCCCTGCTTACCGGTCCTATTCAGGCTGGGCTGCGGGAGCCTCAGGCTGGAAGGCAGAGGAGAATGAGCGCCCCGGGCCGGCCAAGAGGAAGAGAGGGGCAAGAGGGGCGGGAGGGCGGTGAGGGGGGAGGGCAAGAATGGAGGGCCTGGGTAGGGCACCTACCCACAGGGAAGTAGTGTGGCAGCCGCTGCTGGTAGATTTTCTCGTCTTTCTCGAGAAACACGCAGATGACCAGCCGATCCACCTGCGCCAGGCGTGGGTCAGCCTGGGCTAGAGTCCTTTGGCCCGCATCCCCTCCCGCCCTGGGCAAGGCGCTCGCTCATACAGAACCTGGGGCCTCGGGGCTGTGCGCCCACCACCCCACTTGCCCGCCAACAACCCGGCCCCACCTTGTCCTTATGCTGCTCCAACCACTCGCGCAGGGTGGTCAGCACCACGTCAGCAGCTGCCTCATTGGGGTAGCCTGGGGCAGGGATGGGGACGGGACCAGTGAGCCTTGCTCCGCCCGCCCCACCCGTGACCCCGGCTTCTCCCAGGCCCCACTTACCAAACACGCCGGTGGAGATGCAGGGGAAAGCCTACGAGGGGTAGAAGGTGGGGACACTTGTCACTCTGCACCCCGCTTCTAGCCCACCCCTCCACAGCGCTGCCCCGCCCCTTTGGCCACCCTCACCGCGGAGCGGAGCCGGTGCTCCAGCAGCAGGTCGAGGCTGTTCAGGTAGCAGCTGCGGAGCTCAGCGGCCTGGCTGGCACTGGGCTCTCCGTGGGCGATGGGTCCCACGGTGTGGATGACGTCTGTGGAGGCCACCGGGTCAGAGCGCCACCGTCTCTGACCCTGTGCGGTTCTGGGCAGGAGGGTACCAGAGGGACAAGGGCCCACCCCTGCGTGCACGTGGAGCCTGAGCTCCTAGTCTACCCCAGCCCCTTACAGAGGTACCGAAATGTGCCTTCTACTGGCTGCCTGCACCCCACTATGCGTTACCCCTTGGTCCCTCTACATGTAGGCCAGGAGTTGGGACTTACACTTGGCTGGCAGGCGGTATCCGCCTGTGATCTTGGCCTGGCCTGTCTCGCAGTTCTGCAGGGTTCGGCACTCATCAGTGAGCAGGGGCCCGGCGGCCCTGTGAATGCAGCCATCCACTGTGGGGGTGGGGTGGGGGTGAGCCGACCAGCTTTACCCAGAAAGCTGAGCCCTCACCACTCCACCCCTGGCTCAGGACTTCCAATCCCAAGAGGCCCCCTCCCTGGGTCGTAGTCGAGCTCAAGGGGCACCACTCGGCCCCTCCTCCCCATCTGTTTTCTGGTGAAAACGAGGCATGGGGGGGGTGGCTGCAGCCCACCCTGGTGTAGGCAGCGCTGGGAGGCCGGCAGGGGGCGTGCCCAGCACACCCTGCTCCCTCTTTGAGGGCCGGCACTGTAAAGCTGCCTTTCTGGAACTTGAGCCTGCAGACCTCCGCCCGAGCCTAAGCCTCGTGGAACCATCTGCCCAGGCAACTAACTCCCCAGGCAGCTGCACCAAGCAGTAGCATACAGTGCATTGCACAGACGAAAAATGTACCTCCTGAGACCACCTTGGTGACAGGAGCAGACCCAGTGGGTAAGGAACCTGAACCTCTCTCCTCTAGCAGCTTTCCGTGCTCCCCACGCAGGGGTGGAGAGGCCTTGCTTAGGGAGGGGCCCACGGCAGGCGGCCCCAGAGCCCAGCTCCTTAGAGCCTTCAGCTTAATTGCTGCCAGGCTCAGGCTTGTTTACCTGAGCTGGGCTCAAGGGCTCCAGAGCCACCTTAGGGACCCAGACCCAGATAAACAACTTATGGGCAGATGGTTCAAAGGTGATCTGGCCCAGGCAGGCCCATCACAGCTGCCAGACTGTTCTTTCCTTTGCCTGTGAGCTCACTGTCTCATCTGGAAAAGGGGGACCGACTACAGGAAGAGGCCACCCTTCTTTGGCAGCTCTTGGGCCACAGACTCTCAGCTGCAGCTGCCTGGTGCTGGGGGGCGGGCCTCAGGAAGGGCCATTGCTTCCCCTTTGGACACACACATACACCTCCCTCCAGCCCTCCACACACTGGCCTAGTGGGGAGATGCCAGATGTCCCAGACCCCCTTGCTCAGGGGCCCTATGGGGCCCAATTAGACTTCATTTTGCAATTTCACTCAGAGCTGGCACCAGGTAACTTTCCAGTGTGTGGGGACTAGAGGGGCCACGCAACCCCTGGGAGTGGCTCAGGACCATGCTTCTAGCCCCCTGGTCTCCTGCTGTCTTCTGCAGGGATAAAAGCACCTCTAGCCATGGGAGGAGGTGAAGGTACAATTCAGGCAGGGGAGGCATGTTCTAAGCAGAATGCTATCAGGGAGGCTGTGTGGTGTGGGATGGCATGGGCTGGGGAGCTGGGCAGCCTGAGTTCAAATCCCAGCTCTGACAGGAACCACTGACCAGTGTGACCCAGGGCCACCCATTCAGCCTCTCTGAGCCCAGTAGCACTGCTCCCCTCTTGGAGTTGCAAGCTTTTACTTTGTGCTACTGGGGATGGAACCAAGGGCCTGGTGCAGGCTAGGCAAATGCTCTACCATGAGATATCCAAAGTCCCAAGTGAGTTCATCCCTATAAAATGCTTACGCCAGTTCTTGACTGGTGTGGCAGTGAAGCAAGTGGTCCCTTACTATTAGCATGTGGCTGTGGCATGTGGGTGTGGTTTGTAGGGGAGGTGGGGTACATACACATCTGCAGTCTCCTGGCACACAGCTGTCTGCCAGCTCCCAGCACTAACCGCCCTGCAGGTGACCTTGGCCAGCTGGGGGGGCCCTGCGGAAGTGGAGCTGGGTGAGATTTGTGCTTCAGGGACTTAATGTTTCCTGCAGCAGTGGACAGGCCTGCAGCCAGGCCTTTGGGGCTGACCTGGGGGCACCGGGGGATGGAATTGGAATGCTGTGAGTAGAGGCCTTGGGCAGGATGTCCCAGCCATCTCCACACGGGTGCTATAGACACATAAGTGACTCTTCTGCAGATTCCTGGTGGAGGGGTTTTCTCCACAAAAGATAGGGGTTAGGCCCTGGCCTCCATCTTCCCACAGACCGTCTTCCCTGCCTGTCCCCACAGCCTTCTGTTCCCTCTCTCCTTGATGCAGAGGGAGGTCACAGCCCCAAGAGCCACCACCCTGCACACTGCCCACTGCCCCCAGTCTTAGCTGCGGCCAGACATCACTCCGTCTCCTGACCCTGGCCCTGGGGTTGCCTGGTAGGAAGTGAGATGGCCCAGATTCATGCCAGCTGGCCCAGCCCCACCACTAAAAAGCCCCCAAAGCCTCCAGCTCCATCTCACCCTAAGTCAGCAGAAAACCTGGCGACTTTCCAGGGAGACTGAGTCCCCTGGGCAGCACAGGTCTCTCAGGTATTTGTCTGCTGGGGCCTCGATGAGCCCTGCCACCACCTGTGCCAGAAAATGCCCTCTGCCTCCACCTCCAAGCTCCACTCTCTGCTCCCTAACATCAGCCCATGCTGCCCATAGCCAGGCACCGCGAGTCGCATGCTCTGTCTTGTTCGAGCTCACATCTCCCAGGAGGCACTGCCATTTTTCTTCCTTTATAGAAGAAACTGGTGCACAGAGAGGGAGACAACTCAGGTCACACAACTGGAATGTGGTCTCAAGCTCAGTGGCCACCTGACCCTCTTTTGTTGCTCCCAGCCTGGCTGGCATTCTTCTTCCTCTGTCCCCTCTGGGGAGGTTCATACTTGCTTCAATGATCACCTCATCACTGTCAACCCTCAAGCCTGGCTCCGTCCTCTGCCCACATCACTCATCTAGGACCTTGATCTGTCCCCACCACTCAGCTTCCCAGGCCTCCACCGAGCAGATGCCGCCCACCTCCAACCTATGTGCTTCCAGCTCCTCTCTGGATGCTGCTGCCCTCCATGTCACATCCTTCCCTAAAGTCTGGAGCCTCCACCCTGGGGCCTCAGCCCCTCCCTTCCTGGGGGACACTGAATTCCTGGTAATAGGAGAGTGCCCTGCCCAGGTCACAGAGGAGCTTCAACCACAATGCACCTCTCCTAGACCACTGTCACTGTCTCCCCAGGAAGGACACACAGGAAGGAAGTCGGGCCCTTCAAGCCCTGCCTAAGGGCAGGCAGGCTCCATTGGGGCCATTGCCAAGGTGCGGCTGACATGCTGGCCGCTGTTTAGGGTGCTGTAATATTCATGAAGGAAAGATTAGATATTTAAATTTATTCAGCAATAAATGCATCTCAGTGGGGGAGCATTCCTCATGCTAAACAAACAAGCAAGCTGGGACTAATTAATTATTTACAAGAACACAAGGAACCTGTGGCCCGGGGAATGAGGGGCAGCCAGGGCCTGCCAGAGGGCAGGACACTGGCTAGCCTAGCCTCCAGCGCCCTGTGGGCCTGGCCCCTGTGCACCTCCTCCAGGATTTCTCTTTCCTGAAATCCTGGCCACGAAATGATGGGTAGCTTTGGGCAAGTGCAGTTCTCTGAACCAGGTCTCAAGAGAACTGTGGGGAGCTCTGACAGCCCGGGAAGTAGCCTAGGGAACAGGAGCCCACAGGCCCTAAGGGTAGGCGGCCACTTGTCCAGGACTCAGAGTCAGATGTGGAGCCAAAACAAAGCCCATAGGCTAACCTCCATTTCTCAGGAATAGAGATAGAGGTTCAGAGGTAAAGACACTTTCTCCAAGTCACACAGCAAAGTAAGTGGGGGCCATGGGTCCTTGTTGGGCAGGTCTCACCCCTGGCCAACCTTCCTGGGCCCCTGTGGTCTCCAGTGCAGGGAAGAGAGGAAGGTGGAGACTAGCCAGCTTCCCCAGGGCCTGGGCCACACAGCCTCAGAAATGAATTCACTGGGCTGGTGAGATGGCTCGGTGGTCTAAAGCACCTACTTAGAACAAGCTAAGCTAAGCAAAGCACAGGGACTGCGGTTCAATCCCCCAGCACCACATGCCAGCCAGCCCAGCCCCCTGGTGGGCTGACTGGCCACACACACACACACACACACACACACTAAATAAATAAATAAATAAAAAAGAAAAGAAATGAATTCACTGTGGCAGCTTTCAGTGACAGAGGAGACCCAGGCCTGTGGGACACTAGGCCAGGCAGTGTCCCAGGGCTGAGTTCTCCCACCTCATCTCCGAATCATGTTTTTGACGCCTGTTTCCTCAACTGCATAGCATGAACGTATACCTCCTTGCTTGCACTGGGCATTCAGTAAGAGACTTCAAAGTATCCTATACTCGATCACATTGTCACCCTCTTTTTTTTTTTTTTTTTTTTTTAATGTATTTGGTACAGGGTCTCACTACGCAGCTTGGACTCATAGTGAGCCTCCTTTTCAGCCTCCTTTTTTCAGTGCTGGGATTACAAGTGTGCACCAGCACTCCTAGAATCGGTGGCAGGCTCAGCATGTATGGGGGCGGGGGGGGGTGCTGGCACAGCATGTGGTGCCGAGGACTGAACCCTGGTCCCTGCACTTGCCTAAGCAGGCACTTAGTCTGTTGAGGTATCTCACTGGCCCTTGTTATCCTCAATTTATAGATGGGGAGGCCCAGGTTTAGCCACAGGTTCCAGACAAGAGCCAAGCTGGGCCTCTTCTGGCTCTTAGGGTCCCATGCAGCGAGTTGCAGGGTGGCTGCTGCTGTGACCCTTCAGAAGCCTGGGGCCTCTGGAAACCTGTTCCCTGCCTGGACCCAGCACACACAACAAGGAAGGCAGAAGGGGCTGCATCAGAGGGAGGCTGAGGAGACACAAGGGCCTGGGCCTTGGGACCCATCTATTCCTGGACACCTTGCCCTATGACCCCTGGGGACAGTTCATATCAGCCTTAGCTGGGCCTTCAGCCCACATTATAGATATGCTGAGTGCTAGAGCTGAGATGGGGAAACCAAGTGCCTGAGAGGATAACAGCAGTGTCATGGGCAGTCACTGAGCTGCTCACCCAAGGCTCCCACCTACAAGGGCAGGCCCAGCTCCAAAGGTTGGATGCAGACACTGCAGAGGCCTGTTCCCTCCTTTTCCCAACCCATGCTGTGCTCTGCCTCGAAGGCCCTGAGGCTGTCTTCCGAACCACCATGCTGCAACCTCCATCCTCTGGTCACTGATTCAATCAACAAACTCACACTGGCCACAGC